AAATATCACAATTTGTGCGTCTGAATATACATGTTCAGTTTAATAGTTAAAGGTTTCAAGTCTTAGAAGAGCAGTTACATTTTAATCTATATAGCGAGTTTATTTAAATCTTAAAATCTTAATTACACAAAAAGAGAGAGACTCTCCACATTATAAGTATTACATGTTGAAATTTTAATTTGATTATTGATTTATTGAAATTATCTTGATTATTAACAGTGTGCTTTTAAAATCGAAGTCATCAATTTGATTATAATTGTCAAAAGCTTATTTAAATAGAATACAGAAAATTTGAATTCAGAATTTTATTAAAATTATTGACTTTAGTTTGATTTGGAATATTTTCAATAATATTAATTTGAATTAAAAAAAACTCTAGTTCTTGATGCTAATTAATTTATGCAAACATATAAGTTGTTTCATCCAATTAATAACAATCAAGAATTTATTACTGAATTTCTTTTTCTATTTCTTTTAATCTAATCAAAGCATTGTTATTTTTTTATAAAATTAGATTTTATTTACCCTGATTTGAAAAAATCATTAAATCGAAAAAGTAATAGGATTTATCATAAGTACCAACTAAAAGAATATTAAATAAAATTACAATCCCCATAATGAAACTCAAAAGTCTATTCCAATTTCTCGATTTTAGTTAGTTTAGCATTTTTAGTTTCAGTAAACTTGAGATATAATTCAAAATACGTTACAGTATATGTAACCTTAGAAAAGCATATCAAAATATATTTAGATTATTTTTTATCATAAATTGCTGATTAAACATTTTAAATGAATTATTATGTATAAATATTTTGTCCCATTGTAAAAAAATTGATCATAAATCTTTCTTCACTAATCTAGCAGACATCATTATTATAAAAAATGCACTCTATTCTATTCCATGTATAATTTACTGGATTAATTTCAATAATGCTATTATTATGGATCAACTCAATTTTATCTATTCTACCGTAAATGTTGCTAAGATTCAAGTTCCATTTTATTTGACCAATTAGACTTGATTATTGATAATTGCTAAGGTTGATAGTCATTTATGATAATCTTTACTATAAATAGTATTTAGATGAAGTATTTTTAAAGGCATGCATATATATTGATTAAGACTTTTAATTGAAGATGTGAGTTTGACATTTAAATTTTTGATTGTGTAAAAATCCATCTTATTTTTTATTAAATCCAAATAGTTTAGCTTAATGTTAATTTCCTAGATCTTATTAAATCTAATTTTCCCATCCTTAATATAAATTATAATGTCTTAATTTTCTATAAAATTATACGCTATTTACTCTTTATGTAATTTTATAATCTTTATTAGCGATTTTTTTCCTTAATTTTTAATATTGTAGATAAGTAAGCAATTATCATTTGAATCATCCAAGACAACTATCATAAAATATCGAGATTAAAGTTTATAATTTAATGGATGTCTTGGCTTATATTAGTAGAATGGAAGATCATATAAATGAACAAGATTCTATATATCAATAATATAAAGGCTTATTTTAACGCCTTATTCTTCTTAGGTAAAAGTTAGAAAGTATGTATTGATTAGTTAATCCAAATCTTGTGTAATAATTACATCAATAATTCTGGATTCAAATTTTAATTGATATGTAATTTTATTTTTCGGTTTATAATATATTTCTTAATCCTAGATTATTAAACTATTAGTATAAAATGAATTTAATCTACAACCTTTACGAACTTTGAAATTATGAAAAGTTTTCTAATTAAGGGATTTAGATATATCTATTTCATACAATATACAAGACCGAAAAAGTATCCAGATTTAGTTTTTATAAATACTTGCAATAATGATCTCATTTGTATAATTTGATATCCAATTAATTATCTGAAAGTTCTAAAAGTGATAAATATATATAAAGTAATCATAAACTATAATTATTGACTACTAGACAGCATTCACAAGTGTTAAAATATAGTTCTATAAAATCATTATGTTGAATTCTTTAATTAATTTTTAATTTAAAAACATTGTTATAAATATATAAGTTTAGAATTCCTAAATGATGATATTTTAGTTTGATTCTAATTTCAAAAACCAAACATTCTTTATGGATTCATTTTTAATAGTAGCTTCTTGAAAACCTCCAAAGCCTTCATCAAATCCTATTTCATCCCCATTTTATTCAATTGAGAATAATGTCAAAGGAAGTGTTTCTTATATATTGATTAAGCTAATATTTATTTTAATATCAAAATTTTATTAAATAATTGGAGTGATTTGAGGTGTTATTTTTAACTATAGATTATGAATATCGAAAGGCTCAACTTTTATAATTTCTGACTTTTAACCCAAAATTTTATAGATGCCTATCATTTTTGACTTCATTTCTTTTAAATAAACATCTCCATTTTCTAATTTAAAAATAGAAAGTTTGCCATTGCTTTCCACTGACACAAAGTAAGGCATATCAGAAATTTGAAAAAATTTGAAAAATTCTGAATGCAAATAAAAATGCAACTATTCATTCAACTAGACTACTACTTTGTCATCGAAATGATGTAACAAAAAATAATTGTTAATATATGATTATTTATAACCTTGAGTACTAATAATGAATTTGCTTTTAAATTTTAGAGTACCTAAGATAAGTTTAAAATTACCTGTATCTTTATTAATGAGTGTAAACTACAGACTTTTACAACAGTTAAGGAGTTCATATATTTCTAAATGTTGTCCTTCTGCCCTATAAATTACGCATAATATCTTCACTTAAACTGAATAATAAAATAATGTCTTTTGGAATGCTATATAAAATTCATCAATTTAACAGATTTCTAATTATATTAATTTTTAAGGTAGATCACTTTAAACTTCTACCAATAAGGTCATTAATTCAGATAATTATTAAATATTGAGTTTATAGTTTTCGAAATCAATTTCTATTTTATATATGTAGATATCTAAACAATTTTTTTCATAAATAATTAGTACCTAATCTATTTTTGAAAAACCAATCTCACATTTAAACTAATACTTAAGCTATTTTTAATCAATTACAAAATTAACCTATGATAGTTAATAACTTAATCCATTTCTATAAATAATCCTACATTATATATTAAAAACATTTAATTGAATTATCTGCTGCTAAAGGCAACAGTTCAACTGACATAAGTATTAATTAATGGCTAGAAATAAAACAATTGAATTTTGAATAATTAATTCAAAACGCTTAATTTTTATTTATAAAATTAGAATAATAATAAATAATATTTATGCTCAATGATATGAATTATATAATTTTATCTCTGATTAACGAGAACAGTAAAATATCTTTCCTAATCCTTAATAGAATAATTTTATCTCAAATAATAATCATGTTATTTGTATTTTTTCTATTTATATAAAAACAAATCAAATCAATTAATTGAAATTTTTCCACTTTTTTTGTACTTGTGTATTTGAAAGATGATAAAAATAAAAGTTAAAATAATTATGATTAATTTACTATGATAATTTAACCAAACTTATTTTTGTTTTAGGTTGGATCCTGATATATTTATTGTTAGTTTTGATACTTAATTGATAAATTATAAACTTATATTATTTGTTACTGAATCATTAATTTTGTCTAACCAATATTTTTTAAATTAAATTAATTAAACTTTCTAATTAGAATACATTGAATAATGGCTTGAGTTATATTTTTCAATTTTAGTATGATTTTGTATTGGAATTCTTTAAACATAGTCTAATTCTCTTTTAAAATGTAATTCGCTGATATCATAAATAATTAAAGATAAGTCTTCCTTTATCTTTTATTTAAATATCACAATTTGTGCGTCTGAATATACATGTTCAGTTTAATAGTTAAAGGTTTCAAGTCTTAGAAGAGCAGTTACATTTTAATCTATATAGCGAGTTTATTTAAATCTTAAAATCTTAATTACACAAAAAGAGAGAGACTCTCCACATTATAAGTATTACATGTTGAAATTTTAATTTGATTATTGATTTATTGAAATTATCTTGATTATTA